GGGGAGAAGGCAACTGAATGCAGAATTAAAGGGAGTTGCTGGTAAGATATAGCAGACGATGGAAGTGTAAGGGAGAAAAGACTGTATGTGGAAGAAGGCCCCGGGGAAAGGCTGGTGATGATCCAGGCAAAAGTGGACAGGATGAAAATGACAGGACTGCGTGCAAAAAAAAAAAAAAAAAAAAAAGTAGTATGTGCAGGGGTGGGAGATTTGTTAGGAAAAGGGGAACGATGGAGGTAGAAAGGTTTGGGAAACCAAGAGAGGCTGGAATAGGGATAGGCATTAATTTCCTTGAAGCTCTAAAGTCCAAGGACAAATTCAGTGAAGAGTGCAGAAACTGCACAGAGCAAGATGTTTCTTGTGCCAGAAATAAGTAACAGGCAACGAGATGCTGCTCCCAGCTTGCTGGTTGCCTTCCTGCAGAAGGAAGTTCCTGGGTGGGTATACCCTTTCCTTGTGCTGTCTGTACTCTTTGTGTTGCAGCTTTTTTTTTTTTTTTTTTTTTTACTTGCTTACTTGCTGTATTTTTATTGAACAAGGTTGTAATTTTTTGGTTTTAGGAAATGTAAATTCTTTAAAATAGATAGGAATGAGGAACCATTCCTGTATGGTCTGTGGCTCACTCCCCATGTCTCTTCCCCTCCCCTGTCACAAAACCGTCACATAATTTGATTTTGGGAATATTTCTAACTGGGAACAAATAAGGGGACACAGGCTCCATGGCTTCTACAAGAGGTTACAGTGCATGGCCTGACCGAGAGGTTCCTTGCCATACTGAAGAGAGCGCACCATGTAGTCTGGTGTTACCACGTGATGTTATTCTCATTTCTAGTAATTTTCACAGCTGTCTTAGTTGTCTGCCATGATTTAATAAACTTTTGTAGGTGGAGGTTGAAGTGTCTCATTTCAGTCTCATTTAATCAAGAGAGACAGCTATCTGGGCCCCTGTGTGAGCTCCCTGGTCATGACTTTCATGTAAATGACAGATACATTTTGCCTTACTCTGAGGTTATATGTATGTTATTGGGCTTGATCTTTTGCAGACTTGGCTGTCTCTGCTTGTGTCTTTCTTAGGAAGCTTGTAAGACAAAGAGTGAAGTTGTTACCAGGATCTTTTAAGTCTTAGAAAACTGTGAGGTGATTAATATTTGGCTGCTGAGTTGGAAATGAATACGTTTATTTTGGAAGGCTATTGCTTCTTTGCTACAAGGCAGTGTTAGATAACACGTCAACATCCGTTACCTTAACAAAAGGAGTTCTTGGTCATGATATCTTTTTGTATGTATTAGGGTTTTCCAGTACTTAGCACTAGATTGCTTGGGAACGAGACTCACTTTTTCACATTTACAGCAAACGTGATACAATGTTATCTTAGTAGGTTTACTGGCATTGTTATGTTGCTTTGAATTATTATGAAGAGATTTATCTATTAGGAGTCCCTGCTGAGTGCCATGGAGTTACGGGGAAGAATACTAATAAACAGTTACTTCCAGGAATAACTGTTAATCCTTTAATGTTTTTCAAGACATTTCTATTGTGGTTTGAAGCTTTTATTTTTCTAGATCTGACAAGCATGTCTTTTAAATCTGAAGCAGGGAAATGAAAACACCAATCACCAGGTCTCAGTGATGCAATTCTAAAATGCTAAAATTATAAAGAATACTGTTTTTTGTGTGAATTTTCTTTCTTTCTCTTCCCTCTCCCCCCCCACCAAAGGGAAAAAAAAAGCCTTGAAGGAGAAGGCTTTGTCTTTAAATATATATTTATCAGGCAGTAAGGCTTTTAAATTACTTATCACCACTTCAGTATGCAAATGCTGAAAGGCCTTTTACATTCCCTAACTAGCAAATGCCACTACAGTTTGGGTTTTTGTCAGTCTCGCAGGCTTAGTCCTCCAAAGCACTGAGTATTACTGGTGAGTTGATTAGCATGGATTTTATATACTTAAAACCTTGCAGGATTAAAATCTAGGGATTTTTATATATGTATATATATGGCTATTAAAATATATATTACAAAACGGTTGGCTTGATATTCTAGAAAGACAAAAAGCTATGCATTACATAATTTTAAATACGGAGCAATACATCGTATTAAGTTATGGAGGAAAAATAACGAAAGGCTTTATTCTTTATGCCAGAAGGCTGGAGGGAGGGGATGTGCTATGACGCGGCGTTCAGCACCTGAGCTCTGGACAGCGGCACTTGAAGGACCAAAGAATTGTACATTCAAAATGTGGGATGTGAAGCAAATTAAAAGTGTTGCTATTCTTCTGTTATGGCATACTCCAGTGCCGCAATTAGGATCCATTGTAGGCCAAACTTGAGATCCTAGTATTTTATGTAATATTGTACGTAATATTGTATTTTATAGATTATTAGCAGGCGTGCTTTGTAACAATTAAAATAGTTTGCTCATAAGGCCAAAATCAAATCTAAGCTTAAATGAGAATACTGCCCAAATGTGCTTTATGTTCTTAGGAATTATAAGAAAATTGATATTCTGAGCAATAAAATAATTTTAGCACCCCAAACTTAGAAATGAGTTCTGAGTGATTTAACATCAAGAAGTTGAAATAGATGGAAAGAAATTGTCTCTGTATATATTTTTTTCTGTGGATGCATGTGATAGTTTGCAGTGTACAAATACAGTTTGCAGAGTAGTGAACTACGTGTTCGGTGAAATGAGTTGTGCCGAACTACATCATTAGAGTAAAGAGGGTATTACTGCATTTTAAAAACATTTTGTCCATGTACTTCTTAACATGTGCCTTGAATCCACTGTGAAGACATGAATTCACAGAAACAGGTTGAAATGTAGTTGTTGAAACATGTAG